TCGGATAGCAGTGCTGTAGGCCAGGCTCATCTGCACTGAATTCAGCTAAGAGATTTATGGAGCTGAATTAGAGGACACCGAGGATACATGCTAAAACAGATATATTATTCCTGTTCATCTGTTGTCTTTACACAGCAGCAGTGGAGTTGACTGGTCTGATTTAAAGTTTGTGCCCTCATGAAAGAGGCAAACAGTTCTCCTTAAACACTCTGCCAACCTGGGTTTTCTAGCGAATAATGTGGAGTTGATGCAAACAGTATTTCATTTTAGAGCAATTTGATGGTTCACGAGTCTCTTCAGTAAAACCTGGAAGAAATCCAAACAGCACTGACTCATGGGTTCAGGGTTTTGTCTGAGAAGTGCAGAAGAATTATATGTAAAGTGGTAATAAAGATAAAAGACCCTGAAAAGGCACTTTTCTGTCAGATTCTAAAACAGAGTCAAGAAGCGATGATTTTTCAAAGTTTAACATGAGTCTGAGAATTAGAATAGGCAGCTCCCTCAGGATTTGAAATCAAATACGATGTTGAACTCTGCCTGTGACAGCAGCTTACAAAAATGTGTATTAATCAATTGTACATAATTTGAGATGCAACAACACTAGCCTACTAGTACAGTTGCTTTGAACATTTACACTTTTTTATGAGAACATCAGCTTAATTTTTCATTAAGATCACTAAGCAGATGCAGATTTTATTTAATTTAAATATTTATAGAATTTTCTCAATCTTTCAAAATGGATTAGACACTGAATGAGGAAGCTAATATCATCTGGGTGATAATTTATCTGCTGAATCCACTTAAGAAACCAATCAGGAATTAGTTAAAAAGTTACTGGAGTTGAAAAGTATTGTCTAAAGTTGTACATACTACTGGGACACCAAAAGCAAGCCTCCTTTCGTGGAGGGAATATATTTCCAAAAGACTCTCCTGCAGCAGATTATTTTTACAAATACTACATTTCCATCTCTGCCATGACTGCTTTTCAGGACTTGCTATTCTTCCCACTACACTGTATTCACTAGACCTGGGACATACAGCACCAAAGAGAGAGAAAAAATCCTGAAATTCCAAAGAGCTAGGGCCCCAGTTCTGCAAACACTTGCATGCTTCCGTTGAAGCATGTGGCTAGTCTCACTGAAGTCAATGGGACCATTCTTAAAAGTTAAGAATATATGTAAGTTTTTGCAGAAGAGGAGAGGAGCCTAAGCCCAAACCGTCATGTGTTTGCACCGTTGAGAATACTGTGAGCTGCAAAGGAGATGTTGCCTCCAGGATCCATCGCAATCTGCACTTGGCACAATATTGCCCGAGGATTCGATCAGCTACAGACAGCACTCTCCATTGGTGTCAATGACAATTTTGCTAAAAACCGACAGCCCAATATGACCCTTTATATGTACGAATCCATCTGTACATCTATGTTAAAGGGACAGCACCAATTTCAGATCTGGTCCCTTTTGAGCAATAAGCTGAAGGTATTTTCAGGTCCTACACCTACTCTGGACAATTCTTACGGTTTTATTATCCCATTTTCCTATTGTTCTCTATGGTTCTCTGGCAATGTTGCTGCGAGAGACCCATACAAGTAACAGAGGCATTGGGCTGACTCTGTGGGACAGCAGGGAAGCCAGCTGTATGTACAATGCTGTCACATACACAAAGGAGACAAACTGAACTAATGGAAAAACGTCACTCCTTAGTGACACGGAGCCTGCGGCTCCGCGCCTCCCGGGCCAGGTCGACAGACTCAGATTAGCGGGGCTCACGCGGCTTCTCTAAAATAGCTGTGTAGACGTGCCCTAGGAGGTTACACTTACAGAATCATAGAAGATCAGGGTTGGAAGGGGCCTCAGGAGGTCATCTAGTCTCACCCCCTGCTCCAAGCAGGGCCAACCCCAACTAAATCATCCCAGCCAGATTTAGTTCAGTTTGGTTACGTTGTGCTTTTCGCAGCACCTTGAAATTGCAGCTCGGGCTGGCACGCAGGCTTTGAAGCCCAACTTTCCTCACTGAGCTTCAGAGCCTGAGCTCCAGCCCAAGCCGTAACTTCAAAGCTTTGTCTACATGCCTGTTGTTAGAGCGCTGACGCGATCCCCACTGGCCCAAGGCTGTCAGTCTGGGCTGGGAGGCGCGCTCCTCAGGCTCCAGAGCACGGTGTAGACGTACCCTCAGTAGTGCACTTAGAATCATAGAATCATAGAATCATAGAATATAAGGGTTGGAAGGGACCCCAGAAGGTCATCTAGTCCAACCCCCTGCTCGAAGCAGGACCAATTCCCAGTTAAATCATCCCAGCCAGGGCTTTGTCAAGCCTGACCTTAAAAACCTCTAAGGAAGGAGATTCTACCACCTCCCTAGGTAACGCATTCCAGTGTTTCACCACCCTCTTAGTGAAAAAGTTTTTCCTAATATCTAATCTAAACCTCCCCCACTGCAGCTTGAGACCATTACTCCTCGTTCTGTCATCTGATACCATTGAGAACAGTCTAGAGCCATCCTCTTTGGAACCCCCTTTCAGGTAGTTGAAAGCAGCTATCAAATCCCCCCTCATTCTTCTCTTCTGCAGGCTAAACAATCCCAGGTCCCTCAGCCTCTCCTCATAACTCATGTGTTCCAGACCCCTAATCATTTTTGTTGCCCTTCGCTGGACTCTCTCCAATTTATCCACATCCTTCTTGAAGTGTGGGGCCCAAAACTGGACACAGTACTCCAGATGAGGCCTCACCAATGTCGAATAGAGGGGAACGATCACGTCCCTCGATCTGCTCGCTATGCCCCTACTTATACATCCCAAAATGCCATTGGCCTTCTTGGCAACAAGGGCACACTGCTGACTCATATCCAGCTTCTCGTCCACTGTCAGCCCTAGGTCCTTTTCCGCAGAACTGCTGCCTAGCCATTCGGTCCCTAGTCTGTAGCTGTGCATTGGGTTCTTCCGTCCTAAGTGCAGGACCCTGCACTTATCCTTATTGAACCTCATCAGATTTCTTTTGGCCCAATCCTCCAATTTGTCTAGGTCCTTCTGTATCCTATCCCTCCCCTCCAGCGTATCTACCACTCCTCCCAGTTTAGTATCATCCGCAAATTTGCTGAGAGTGCAATCCACACCATCCTCCAGATCACTTAGGTTAGGTGTTGCTCGTAGCAGGGACTTGGGAGACTGAGTTCAGACAGGAATGGGACTGGGGAAGCAGGCAGCGTCCCTCTAACTTGGAGGCACTGTTCATGGCTGCTCTGCTGTAATCTGTACTACCCCAAAGCACCTCCCCCTTCCCCTGGCGTTTAATTATTTATTTCTCTCACTTGACTCTGTCAGCAGCAAGAGATGTCGCCCTCTGTTTCCGTGAATGGGTTAATCCCCCCTGTGCACTGAGAACAATGGTCCCTTCTGGCCTTAAAATCTATGGACTGGAGTGTCCGGGTCTGACCACTTTGTGTCATGCTGCTGGAGATTCCCCCTGGGATGGAAATCCCATGGCTGACCTAAGGGAAAGGCGGGGGCTGTATCCGGGGCACGGAGGGAAAGGGCCTTAGGAGGAGAGGGGAAGGCTTGGGGCCCAAAGAGACATTGACATAAGGGCTCTGAGAGACCCGAGGAGCAAACTAACAGTGCCCCTCTGCAGCTTTTAACTTCCACCAGGGCTGGGTGGCTGAGCCAGGAAGCTGTGACTGGTTCCTTCGCCACAGGGAAGGAGCAAACTCTGTGAATCTATGAAAGATCAAGAAGGGAGATTGACATTCAGGGCTCTGTGCTGGTCCCAGAGAAGCAAATTGCAAACTTCTCTTCTCCTACCCAATGGGAGAGGCTTCCTCTTCTGACTGCATTGTCAGACAGCCAAGAATAAGGGGACTAGGTTCTGCACATCTCCCTACGAATGAAACAAATTTCCTGGCTTTGGATTTTTTTTCAAGTAACTATGGATTTAGTTTTGCAAAATGCTAACAGTATCAAAATAATCTGAGCCCTTGAATGCAGCAGAACTGGGTTCTGACCCACTTGCAAGTGTATTTTGTGCTATGTCATGTTTTTTAGTTTTGCTACAAAATGTTCATGAAATGAAACCCAAGCATTTTCCAGATTTTTTTATGAGTATCTTATAAATTGCCAAATTAACTTTCATTGGTTTTTGCTCCATAGCACTAGGTCTGTGTATACGCCAATGCCTTTTCTGCCTTTGCTTTATACTCCTACTACATTGTGTGGCTGGCTTTAGATCTCTTCGCTTATCTGTTTTGTGCATTATGTTTCATGTTGGAATACTGGGTGCATTTGTTTATTTTTTTCTTATCATCATTACATTTCACTTCTTGCTTACCTGCAAGCTCTATTTGGTTGGTCCATATATCGAATCTGTCTCAGTTGTGAATTCTTCTCAGTTCCCCCTAGCTCTCTCTCCCCAGCAGGTTTAATACTTTTGGAAATTGTACTCCTGAAAGATCATCTTCTATAAGATACAAGGGAGAGTCTTCTGGCAATGCAGATCTTTAAGGAACAATACTTGTTACTTATTTTAACCCTGAAATGTCCCATTTGACTGACACAATCTGTTTTCTATCCTTAGGCACATGTTTGTCTGTCTTAGGGTTCAGATTTCTGCCCATAGCTTCTTATGTCTTCCATGTCAAGTCAATAGTAGTGTTCGTACTGGACTTCATGGAATCTCTGGCACGTCTCCATTTGTGGGATCAGGCCTCTGCTTGCAACAGGATTTTGGGGGAGTGGTTGTTTAGAAGTGGTTGAGTGGCAGGAGAGGGTGTCAGGGTTAGGGGCAGGAGGGGGTGTTAGTATTGTGCATATAATTCCTGCGAGGGTGGAAAGGCCGTTTCAAAGTGGCAGGTTTTTCTGCGTTTCCCAAAGACAGTCAGGATCTGGATTCACCCCGTCTCCTCTGGAAAGTCTCTCCACCGCCACATCCTCTCAGATTAATTGACGAGTCTGGAGTCTATATTGGGGTAGATGAACGCTGTTTTCAATTTCTCTCTCTTTTTTTTTAAAGGTCACCCTGGTGGTATTTTAATTCATCACGTCGTATGGAAGCCCGCTGCCGGCCACACACAGACCAAGAGTGCCACCGAAGAGATGCTGTTGAAGGTGCGTTAGCAAAACAGCGAGTCAGTACTTAGAGTAACCTTTGTGCACGTCATGTGCTGTACTCCAGCACAGGTTCCTCATCGTTACAGCTACTACAGTGGCAAACCTTCTAGTTCACAGCATGTGCCTGAGTCAGGATGAAGTTTAGCAAAGAGTAATGGAAAGCATTATCCAGGGTAAGCTGTGATAGAAAAGCATTAATTTCATATCCAAGTATACGTCCCTCCTCCTCAAGTCCCCAGTTGAACTAGTGCCACGTAATCAAACGCGAGCTACATAGACCACTAACGAACTCACGCTCCTGTGAGAAAAGCTTCGCTGGTGGTAAGTAAATCCCGTGTGTCACTGCCAAGGGGCAAAAAATGCCTTTCCTTCGTGTGACAGCAGTGTCGTCCCGAAGTAGGATGGTTGCAAGGTGGTGGTGGTGGTGGCTTGCTTGGGAAAATGCTGGTTTGGATATTATTGTTTCTTCGCTTGTGTCTAAACTCGCTCACAAACCATACACTGGCTCCTGAGTCCTCAAATGGATAACGGAGTCCAACAGAGCAAGACTGAAAGAGGCCAATCCAAGAAGTGGTGGGATGTCGTAAAGGAAGATATGTTAGCATGGGTGTGATAGAGGATCTGGCATTGGACAGAGCACTTTGGAGGGAGAGGACCTCATGAGATGGGATTAACACAAGAAGGAATCATAGAATCATAGAAGATCAGGGTTGGAAGGCACCTCAGGAGGTCATCTAGTCCAACCCCCTGCTCAAAGCAGGACCAATCCCCAACTAAAGCATCCCAGCCAGGGCTTTGTCAAGCTGGACCTTAAAAACCTCTAAGAGCTCATATCTGAGGAGACCAGTGTATTCCACTCGGGTTGTTTAGAAATGTTTACTTGATTAAAGACTTCGTTAGCATTTATTGCTTTTGACTCCTTGCAACTTTTAATTAACCCCAGTGTCTCCCGTGTCTGCACGTTGGCTTGTGCTTTGCCCACCTAGCGTGTTTTCGCTCCGCTACAGTGCAGCTTTGCACTTGTGCGCAGCTACGCTGGTTTGCTATACCTCCGTTTCAGCTGGACTGAAAAGCTGGTTCGAGTTCAGGGAGTGAGCTGGGTGAGCACAGCTGCCAGGGCTGCTCACTGGGAGAAGGAAGGCACATACAGATGTTGAAAGAAATTCACTTTGCAGTCAGTGCATGAGACCTGTCTCTGAACGGACTGATACATTCAGGAAAAGTTTTCAGCCTAGTAATTCAAGATGCTTTATCACTGTAGCACCAACGACAGCCTCCCATTCCTGGGGTCCTTTCTTCTTCCTCCAGATGAATGAACCTCATCTGTGCACCCTCTCCTGAAACACTGCATTGAAAATGGCTTTTAAGCTGACGATCAGGACTGCTGGTGACGGCAGCACCCAGCAGCCTGGAGAGGTGCTTTCCCCCTGGTCGTCTGATCCTCTCCCAGGAGGGCAGTGCAGCAAAAAAAAATGGGGGTGTGGAGGGTCAGGATTGTGCCCCCTAGAGGTGTGTGCAGGTCTCTCTCCTCCCACACAGCAGCAGACCGTGTGGTGTCTTGCTGATGTTCTTGGTGTCTGCGCGGGGTGAGGGCAGGGACCGGATGTGGGGGGAAGGAGTGGGTGGAGCCAGGAGAAGTCACATCATCCCCTTGTGGCCTGCAGAGTTTACCAGGGAAAGGTTGTCTCTCCAGCCTGGAGATGGGGGAGGCGAGAAACTCCCTTTAAGGGGGATCCCCAGGGTAGCTGTGGCCAGGGGCAGTCCCTGGGCAGGGAGTGGGGTCAGCAGGAGCACAGGGCCAATGCAGAGGCTCTGGGCCTCCCACTCGGGGCGGGGGAAGGAAATTCTGTTCCCTGTGACGGAGCCCTAGGAGGAACCCACCTACCCCGGGGCAGGAAGGCACACTCTGGCTGAAGCCATGTAGGAGATCAATGAATTAATATTTCTCTGTGTGTGGAACCCAATGCTCACTGTGGGTTGTTCTTCCTCCCTCTGTGCCTGATCCATAGAGGATGTGAGGCCGGAACAGTCCCAGCTCCAGAGCCTGGTTCTTTAGCTGAAGCTGTTGAGACCTGTGCTTTCAGTTCCGGAGGTCCCTGGTATGTTGACGGAGTGGGCAGCTGTTAGCCATGGCTTACCACCTACCCTCCATAACTCAGCACCAGCCAGAGCTTTTTTTTCTAAACATAAACCACTGTCAGATGTTTCTTTCCATTCGTCTTTTCATTATTTTGATGGAAGAAAAGTACTGTTAAAAGTTTGTGAAGACACATTTTAATAGCGTGTGCACACTGGCCTGACAGCTCCAGGGTTTCTTTTTCTCCCGACTAGACAAGTTTCATCCTAGTTTATATGAAGAAGTTGATCTTGCCAGAATTGGTAGCCTCATGCCCCTGCCCTTTGCTTTTCATTCTATTGCTGAGGTTAAAGTACTCTGGGATAGGGGGATGTGACTTGTAAATGGACCTGGAGTGCTTCCAGCCTTCCTGTAGCACAGATCAGTTCTTTATTGTTTGTACTGGTAGTGGGTAGAGACCCCCTCTGAGACGGGGACCCCAATGTGCTAGGCGCTGTACAAACAAACACTGGGAGACAGCCTCTGCCCCAGAGAGCTTGCAGTCTAAGGCTAAGGATAGACGAAGAGGTAGCGCGTAGAACCAAAGTGAACAAAGTCATGGTTTGCAGATCACATGTTAGTACCATGATTTTTATTGTGTTGGTTGATTTCTTTCTCTCGCCCGCCCCGTTCAGCAGCCAGAGATGGAGATCCTGTAGGAGTAGCTGGGAATAGCCTGGTGCTGTCCGACTTCATAGGCTAATTTTGATCCCACTTGGCAGTTGTTGGTTGGAAGCTTGAGTGCAGCTCCGGAGTAGTTTGGTGTTTGCTGAGAGGAGGGATGGCCGGAGGAAAATATCCAGTAACAATGTCTGGGGGAAATGGAGGGACATCTGGCACAGTTCCGAGTAAGCCCAGAGGCCCTGAGGGTGGGTGCTGAGGCAAAGTTCTGCCATGGCGAGCCTCAGACCTCCACTGCTTCTTCTCCCCAGGAGAGACCCGAACCCTTTCTCACAGCCACCTTTCTTTAGGCATTTTTCTTTAAATCAGGCTGCCAAAGACGTATTTCCTCCTTTGTCCCAAATGTGTCAACCCTTAGCCCCTCCACACACCCCAAATTACACCTGCCTGCAGCCCAGGAGAGCCAGTAGTCAGTCCTGGGCCAGTCAATAATGTAAAGTCTCATACCTTGCTGCCTTGCTTTTACATGGCAAGGGTGGTCAACTATGTAAATAGAAAGGGTGAAAAATAAAACTAGCAGTCGATGTGACAGGGCTCGAGGAGCCATTGACTCTGAGTTTAGGCACAGTTACCTGCCTCTCTCACCCCCATCTCCTGGCGATACTGGATGTGAAACTGGAAAGTCAGACCAGTGACTGAGCGGCAGGGGGTGAGGCTGGCATTAACGCTACAAGCGTTCAGCCATGTTTGCCGCTGAGCACTCACAGTCTGGAAGGGGAGGGAAGGTTTGCTCTATACACTTTTACTTGCTTTACAAAAACTCGCAGAGGCTTCATGTAGGTAAATCATGGCAGGGACTGTTTGTCTTCCTTTAACATGCCTCTTCTGGAGGCTCTTCAGTGTTTAATGCGGTAGCCCTTAAACTCCAGAGACCTGAGTTCAGGTTAGGGATGGGACACACAGAAAAAGAAACACAGACTCCAGGCCTTATAGCTGTTCTACGCAGGCAGAGACCAGGGAGTGCTGGGGCTGGCCTGCCAGGACGTCTAGTGGGACCAAGGCCTTAGGTGTATTCCTGGCACTGGGTGATCCAGGAAGTTTTGCTGCTTACCAAAAACTTTGTGGCACTTCCAGACTTCCTTCTGGCCTCCCTCACACTATGGGTTTTCATACAGTCCTCAGCTCTCACATCGCAGTAACCATCTCTTTCTCCAGGCCTTGGCTGTTACAGAAGTGCTCTGTAAAAGAGCGATCTGTGTATATATGTAAATAGGAAGTGAATAGATAAGGTGCCAGTAGAATATGTGGTGATGTTCCTGGGTTTTGCAGGACCAAGAAAACTAGCTACGTTCCACTGCAAGGGCTTCATGTGTGCGGCTGGTAATAATGGTTGTGCTGTCACGCTGGGTAATGGAGGGGGGAAACGAGCGGAGGGTTTTGTTCTGGGACCGTGTATTCCCAAAGTATCACAATGTGTGTCTGCTTTCCACTGGAAAACCCTGACTGGCTCCTTTGTGGTAGAGAAGCAAATATAAAGTTGGACCTTGGGCCTTTTGTCGAGAATTTTCTGCTGGCATTTTCCAAACTGTTCTTGATGGTGATCTACAGAGAAAGAGGCAGTCATGCGTTGACCTGGCTGTGGTAAAGGTGGCTCTCTCTTCCCCCAGCACTCTGTAGGTGTAGCTCATGTTAACATAACTGAGAGCTGTGCAGTTTTATCAACCTTCTTCCAGACAGACATTCGAGAGATTCAGAAGCGGCAGATGTGTGTGGAATTGCAACATAAGAATCCAGGAGCTTTCAAGTCTTGACAATGATGTAACCCTTTGTTACTGGCAGATTTTAATAGGTTTCCGTGGCTTGGAAAGGGACACCCAGGGTTAAGTATTTACATTAGAAATCCATCATTTTGACTGTGGCCAAAGTTGTAACCTAGCTATGAAAACGTATTCAGGAGTCACATTTACCATAAAGACAGGTTTCAGAGTAGCAGCCGTGTTAGTCTGTATCCACAAAAAGAAAAGGAGGACTTGTGGCACCTTAGAGACTAACCAATTTATTTGAGCATAAGCTTTTGTGAGCTACAGCTCACTTCATCGGCTGCTGTAGCTCACGAAAGCTTAGGCTCAAATAAATTGGTTAGTCTCTAAGGTGCCCCAAGTCTTCCTTTTCTATTTACCATAAAGCATCTTACTGGGGAGCAATTTTATTCCCTCCAGTGATCCCAGTAACTGGTGTGGTTTTGTGCTGCTATAAGGAGACAAACAGCTGTCCTCAGCCAGGGGGTGGTTGTGTGTTGGCTGGAAACCTGATGAACTGTACTTGTGGCTATTCTGAATGGCTGCTTATGCACACATAACAACTGTGACACTGTTCCCAGAGGCAGTGCCTTCAGAAGCATATCATTGCTTCTGGCACTCTGATACCAACCCCAGA